CTTCAAGAGATATATAAAATTGGTCTACTGTAATTGATTTCAGACTCGCTTTTATACCTTTTCAATCCAAAGATACAGAACGATCATTATCATTCATTAGAAGCTTTGTTATGAATTTCGAGATTTGATTCAAGTGAATTCAAGTAGTGAATTTAATGTACAGTTTTGTAAATATTATAGTAAATTTAAGAAGATTTCTAAATCAATCATCAGTTGAAGATTTTGTTTTACTATAAATTCTGAACTTGTTACATTGGATCACTGAAAGATTAAACTGAAATATTCGAATCTAAACAAATTTCACTAATTCATATACAGTTACGTAATCATCAACTTTTTGTAAAAAAAATTACCAACTTCCAAAGTAAATTAATTAATTACCACTGATATATATTGTTGAAGTCGCTGAAAACTTCCCATTATATTCAAACACAATTATATGAACGAAAAATATTCTTTTCAATAATTTCTCATCAGGTACTCTACAGTTATCTCATATCTAAATTAATATTCCATAAAATTGACCAGATTTAAGGCAGAGTACATCATTTGGAAATTGTAATATGTGAATCAAGAATTAAAACACGAAGTTCAGCGAAGGGATCTCTTTTCAACGAATTCATTATCAAGCTGTACAATCGTATATCTATATGAAACTTTTTTTGTTTTTTTGTAAAAGTACCAATTCCGTGAGGAAATGTGAACACAGTTAATAAAAAAGGTTATAATACTAGATTACGTAATACGAATAATAATAGTAGATTTAGTGAATATAATAAGATGATTAAAATGCTTTTGTCGTAATAATTATAGGTCATAGAGATGTAAAAAATAAATAAGGTGATATGATGAGGATTTACGAACAAAATAATGAGAATATAAGACATAAGTAAAAGGGGAATGCAGTAATAATAATGATAATAATAATAGGATAATCAAAATAATTAAGGCCAGGGTAACGATAACGATAACATGTACTTCTTTTGTACGCATAGTTCTGGTTTAAGCTCCTGGGTGGCAAGAGCTTCGGCTACCTTTAAGAGTTCGATACGAAGAAATCTAGGTAGATTTGAACGAATCATATAAACAACCTTGTGGATCTGTAGAATGGTTACAGTCGATTAGGTGTTCAAGTATAGAACTCCTAACTGCTTTCCTTTCACTCTTATTATATTCACTAAATCTATTGTTGTTATTAGTATTACGTAATCCAGTATTATAATCTCTTTATTACGTCATGGTTAATTGTGTTCACATTTCCTCACGGAATTAGTACTTTTACAAAAAACAAAAAAAATTTCATACATATACGATTGTACAGCTTGATAATAAATTCGTTGAAAAGAGATCCCTTCGCTGAACGTCGTGTTTTAATTTAAATGTTTAAATGGGAATTATCTGCCAATTGAATCAAGAATTGTTGTTTGTCATATAAAATCAAATTAAATTGTTAATTTTGGGGCTGACTAATATGAAGTGCTAACTTGAATTAGTTTATAAGTGAAATGAAATTGTGAGATAAATGATCGGAAGAAATATGGTCAACATGGAGTGAGAGAGAGAGAATACGAACTAGTCAAGAATCAGCAAATAGGGTTGGATGCTTAATCAATTTCTCAAAAAGGTTATCCAGTGTAATAATAATAATAATAATAAGGACAATGGTAAGATGTGTGGATGAGTTTAGGATAATGGTAATTTGGATTTATAATTGTAGAACTTGATGAGAAATATTGTTGAAAATTAATAAATTACCTTTTTGTGGTAGTCTGTAAATATTTATCTAACCTATCCTTAAATCTCATCATAATAACAAGAATCTAGTATTCAATTAGATTTTACTATGGAGCATTTTAGTCTTTTTAAGTTTCATCATCCTTATTTGGCTGTTTTGCTATTATTATTATTATTATCTTTATTATTGCATATTTAATACCAAGTTAGTGAATAGATTTTGATAAGAAATCAAATAAAATGAAACGAAGTGGAACAATACAAATAGACTACTAAACAGGAGCAAAACCATAAAAAATCGATCGCTTGAAACAATTTATTTCCAAGTGTTCTGTATACCTTATCCAGTTGGTTTGTTTCATTTTGTAGTATTAGAGTAAATGCAAATATAAGACCCATAAAATGTAATATAAATAAGTAACAGACTATAAATATATACCCTACCACACTCGTTCGGTAAATATTTATGTATGTATAGATAATATAAGTGTACACTTAAAAAGAAATATTTTCAATTCATATCAATGACTTTGTGTTTGTTTAGTTTTCATTATTATTCAGTGTCCTGACTTATTTGATTATAATATCATGAGACTCTGGAGAATTAGTCGTCTGTTTCCTTCCTTTTTTCTTCTATTTTCCTTATTTTTTACTGTGCTTCAAATTGTAATTTTTTTTAATTATGAAGTGGCTAAATTTTTTTTATTCTTCTTTCACCATCACAGTTTTTTTTATTTCGTTTTTCATTCTTTTCGCCTTTTTCTCCTTCCTTCTTTCACACTGTAGGGTGTTTTCTTTTTCAAATTTTTCTTTCATTTCAAATAAACTTATATAATAAGATGTGACTTTGTAAAATAGATTCTTTAGTAGAGAAACAATGTGTGAGTGTTCATTTTTATGTCTTCCTTTAAATATATAAAAATTTATTGATGAAAGCAAACGAAAAAGAAATAGTACCAATGTGTTATTGTTTCCGTTTGTATTTCCGTATTTTCTTTTTCTGATGTAAGTCATTTTCAAGAAATTGAAAGTCTTTCTTGTTTAGCTTAAATTATATTGCTTAATATTTAAATAAATAATCTATAAAAATAATAAAACACAATGGGGTCTTGGAATTTTTTTTCAAAATAAATAAAGTTTTTTCGAATTTTTGCCCATAGTAACAAATGAAATCAGTAGAAAATGTTTTATTAATTAAGTATAACAAGATCTAATCAATTGTAGGATGAAATGGCCGTTCAGTGCTACCAAGTTTTCCATAGTGGTCTAGATTCAATTAACTCATGAATTCAACTATAATATACACAAAACCCATCTGTAATTGTAGATTTATTAATTCAGTGATAATTTCTTTTTATAATATGGTAATTAAACATCTCATTTTCTATTCATTCTTTCAAAATTTCTAAAGAAGTAAGGTCAATTCGTGGAACTTTGAAGTATAAATGTGCCATCTCAAACACTGATTTCTGTGTGGATATAAAACACTTGTTATAACTATAAGGTATGTAAATTAGATTGCTTTAAGAATGACTGTAAAAACTATTATAAACTCTTTATATTATACAAGGTAAATCCAACTTAAAGTACTGTCTCTGGTAAACTCACTTGATCTTTAGTGTATAGGTTGTAATTCAACAATTTTAAACTCATTGAAATTTTGTATTAATTTTATTAACAATGGTTGAAAAGGTATAAATCATCTGGTATGATTTACACTGTACAGTTTGCTACTAATAATTACAAGTTCGTATCAGAAGGGGTTTTGTGAAAATCACAGTAATTTCAATAGTTGGGATCATGAATCCATTGAAGCTAGACCACCATGAAAAACCTGGAAGCACTAGGCGGCCGTTTTGGCCTATTATGGGACCCATCAGCAGTATCCACGATCTTGCTCGCGGGATTCGAACCCAGGACCTTCTGGTACTAATCAATATATGCTCACCAGTGGCTGGCTTCAAGAGATATATCCTGGAGTTCTAGTGAGAAGCAGTGATCACTGGAGTTCAACCAAGTCAGTTGTCAGTGAGTAACTCACTGATGACAATGGTAGATATGTCGATAGATTTAGTGGGTCAGTTGAAGTTAGACATTAATATTGTTGAATGTTGGCTGGCTCAGTGGTCTAGTGGTTAGGCGCTCGCTCGCGAGACTGACAGGTCCTGGGTACGAATCCCGCAAGGCGGGGTCATGGATGAGCACGGATGACCAGCATTACAATAGGATAAAACGGCCGTCCAGTGTTTCCAGGTTTTCCATTGTGGTCTAGCTTCAATTAACTCATGATCTCTACTATTGAAATTACAAGTTTTCTGAGTATTCTTACGTAAAATTATGCTAAAATCACTGTGTACTAAAATCTTAATAAGACGATCTATTTGTTAGATATGTAATGCTTTTACAAACTATATTTAGTTGGAAAAATTCAATAATTTATAATTATTTTTCATTGTTAAATCTAAGTAATTTTGATGAACATAATAGTGAATGTTGTATGGATTTTGAAACGTGAAGATTAGCAATTGAATTATACACATCAAGCTAAAAGTTTAGATTATTTTATTTATATTTTAACTTGGCTACAAATAAAATATTTTGATAAACCGAAGATAAACTAATTTATGAACATGAATGTTTTTTTTTACTGCGTGCAGAGATTTTTGCTGCCATCGGAAATGGTTAACTCCAGTTTGCATATGATGTTAGTGACAATTTTTTTCAGTAAAATAAAGGGAACTATTTGAGAACATAGAAATGTTAAAGCTTTTAACTCTGGTTTGTGGGTCACTGAATGTTCACGTTAAAATGTTAGTATAAACTCGAAGTACATAATAATAATAACAGTAATAATAATAGTGAATAAAACCAGTAAGTTACAATATAACTTAGCAGTCTTACATTTTACGTGATATTTATAAGTTCCAAAGGAAATTATAGATGAAAATAAAAATAAACGACTTTAAAAGATTAATGCTCAGTTATTGAATATAATTCAGTAAGTAGTAAATTATGAGTTCATGAGCTTAATACAACGGAATAGTGTTTGTGTAAATCTGGTAACTGTTACTCAATAATATAGTATTTAATGACTTCATTGTAAGGATCGAGGTTTTTCGAAGACTTCAATAAGCATAAAGATGATCCAGTGGTTATTTTATTTTTCATGGTTGACTTTTTTGGTTATATATAACATAAAAAATCATATAAATTCATAAATATTAAAGAAATTAATTTAAAAACGTTTTGTTTGAAAAATAACTTACCAGTAATAGCATGAATATCTGGAATACGCTGGGCTGATAAATCCACTAATTGTATAATATCCCTAATAGCTTTAGCATCTTCATGAACTATAGCTTTCAGTGTAGACTTTGTAACACGATTAAATAATTCACGTACTTGTAATTTCATCCATACAGAACCGGCTAAACGATAAACACCAACAACGTCTGATCCACGTTTGTCAATTTCTTCAACACATTTCTTAATAAATAGTGGTATAAACATGTAATCAGATGTATTTTGATAAACTAATTGTTTTGGGGAATACAATTCAGTAATTTGGCATATAACACGTTCACGCTCAATCAATTCGTCGATCGATACACCAAATAACAATCGATCAGCACTAGTTGAGCTCAACGCACTTGTGCTTAACAAATGTTGATTACGATGAAATAATTTTTCCAATGGTATATGTGCAAGTTCCAGGTATAATACACCTCTTGGTTCAAGCTGTAGGGCAATTTTATAAACATTTTTGGGTGAAATTGATACAGAAGGGCTGAGAATAAGTTCACTAGTTGAAGTATGGGATGTTGATGCTATATTACTTGATGTTAATTTACCAAGCAAATTTTTCAAATCAATTCCGCCATAAAAGCATAAACGATGCTTGGTACGTGGGTCCCACTGATAAAGTAAGACAGCTAAAAATCTATTATCTTCCATATCAAGTTCAAATACCTCATTCCATTCAAAATAACTTGTACTAGTACGTATCATGGAACGCGCCTTACGTACAGAGTCCATTTCGATGACACAGTAAAGATCTCTGACAATAATGTGTGTAGAATTTAAACCTTTGCCTGCAATAACATGCAAAATGAATAATCCATTAAGGTTACCAGATTTTGGGATACGATCAACATTTTGCAAATTCACTGTTCTAGACGGAGTATTCGAATTATCCCAATCGTATGTAGAAGATTGTGAAGGATGACTTGGAGCCTGAGAGGTCGATAAACATCTTTCACTTGGTAAAGTTAGAAAATCTCCAAAGCGATCTGATAACGTTTTTGACGTTCCAAAAGAATGTGAATCTAAATTTGAATAAGCCGTTTCGAATTCAGCTTGACCAGAAAGACTAGTTGGTGCAGTAGAAGTTCGAGTATTTCCAAGAATTTGGGCAGGAAGTTTAGAAGACATATACAGGGATTCATTTGGAAAAGATGATCTGGTTCCAGAAGGATCTGTATAAATATTTTATACAAAATAAGCCTTTAGAATATTTCAAGGTACAACTACGTTATCGAATCAAGTTACTCTATGTACTATTAAAAATCACAATTATTGTTTAATATATGAATTATTTCAAAGACAGATTTGACATAAATTATAATAAAAAAAATCCGTCATAAATTGAAGTGAAACTTATGTCTTTAATTCTTATTTAACCAACCTTCAATAGGTTGCTGAATTAATAGTCCATCACACAGTTGCTTTATTTTATAACCTTTTCTTTGTTAACTGAATGAAACTAAGCTAGTAATACCATACTCAGTTATTTAAACTGTTTAATAATCTGGATTACAAAGTTAAGATGTTCATCGCTCATTTATTGAACTCCTTGACATTATCAAAAAGTTCATCTAGACAGAAAAATAAGTAAGAAATATAAAGAACTACATAAACCAGTCACCCAACAATAGTTGTTAAGTTATTTATTGGTAAGTCTATTCTAATAATTCTATATCCAATATAAATATGGTTAGCACATAACTCCAACTACATAATCAGTTATTCAATAATTATACATTCTAATTATTTTTTATAAACAATAAATGCTCAAAACAAACAAAAATGAAAAAGAAAAAGTTACCTGGATTAATTTGTGAATAAAATGATAATATTGAATGAAAAACAATGTTTACAAGATGATTTTATAATCTATCTATCCCTCTCTCTCTCTCGCTTTTGTTTCCACTAATTTTCTCTCATATTACCAAGTTTATTTAGTTTTTGTCAACTATTTTTGTTTCAAAACAAAGAAACAAAATATATATATATATATTCCATGGAAAAACTCATCCATCATTTGATTTTTATTGATTAGAAATTATTCAGTTAAAGGAAAAGAGATGAAAATAGTGAGTGAAGTTAAAAAATAAGTTTTTTTGTTGTTGAGAAAATCAATTCCAAAAAAAAAGAGATCTATATAAGATAGTATATGGGTTACTATCCCTAAATGATGAATTGAAATTAAATGAATATAGCGTGTGGATAAATAAGTCAATTACTAAACTTATGTTTGTTTGATAAATAAATAACGAATCAGTTGGGGTAGTAAACATTTACAAGAAATTATGTAATTGTTTAATGAGACTTGGAAAATCAAGTGAAAATACATACATACATACAATTCTTCTAATGTATAAACACTTGAATGTATGGTAATACACAAGTAATAGACATACACACATGAATGTATATTCATATTTGTTTGAGATTTGGAGTCTTAGTTTCAGAGAAGTTAGACATCATATTTAGTGAAGATAATAGAGATAAAACTTTGGATAAGTAAAATTACATAGTTCTAACGTTACTCTCATTAATCTAATCTGAACATCCATATTACTCATAAGAAGTTGTGTAATCTGATAGAACTATACAAATACATTCAGCGAAAGCTTTACAAATATATTTTTACATTTAAAATACAAGTATTCGTATTGTCTAATAAACACACACTATGTTCGTAACCATTTTCATTCTAATAGTGATAAGCATAATTACCAATTGTACACCTGGAAGGATCACAATCGCTGCTAGTCCTAGGTACCCTGATATCTACTCAGCTTGTACACTCATGATGAGTCAGAAACAAGAATAGCTATTTCATGCTCCATATCTATCAATGTATCTCCATATAATCTGGCATTGATTTTAGAGTTCTATTATAAACCACGTGTTGGGCATGATATATTTGCTGTTATATAATCCAGGGCTCGTTTTTCGCCTCATTGAGGACTGGTTAGCTAGATGTGACTTCAGCTCAATGTTGATGTTTACTTTGTGACTTAGATCGACAACTTATCTCCACGAACACCAACACGTTGTCAACCAAGCTAATGAGTCGAGTGGTAAGATATAAATGTGTGAGTTTTAGTTATCTCGCTGTGGACTGAAATTGAGTAATCTCAGAGTAAACATCAACATTAGAATCTCGGTAGATCTTGCTTACGTGTTTTAAAAAATGTTAAGCGTTCGTATTGAATACCACTGTTAACCATGACCCAATTAAACACAAACAAATATTGTGGAAGTCAACAAACTGCATCACGGGCAAGTCCTAATTTGAAATCCTGAAGGCAAGGGAAGTAAGGAAAAGATGAAGACCAAAGAATACATTTTGTTGGGAATCGGAAGCAGATATCAGGAGAATGAGTGTCAGTAGGAAAAAAAGTGTAAAGTAGAGCCCACTACAGAGTTGATTGGGGAATTGTGTTAGGCTGTATATGCTCCTACACGAAGGATAGCGAACGTAAGTAAACTGATGCGAAGTAAACGTTAAATTTTCTGTTGGTGAATTAAATCTATTTGTTAAGCCAAGAAACATAACACAAATTTATTCAACTTGAAAAATCTTTTTAGCACGTAAATTCATGAAATTGAACGTAAAATTTTTTGGTTTACTGTAGATAAATTTTCACATAAGCACTTATTTCTAATGATACTCGTATTCGTGCACAGATTAGAGATGGTATTTAAACAAAGTTCTAGTTTGTAGAAAAGCTCCGTAGAATAATTAGTAAAAATTAAGTTATATCATAAATTGACTGGAGTCAAAAATATGAAACAATAGATTTCTGTCGAGTGGCCTAGAAATAATTTCATTGCTTCGGTAACAAAACATTTTGGATTCAACCCTGTATGAGCTTATGAGTGCATAATGTTAATGAGTCTCAAACTAAGTATACATAATCTACCAATTTTTAACATTTCGTTCAGTGATGTTAGTAATGGATTAAAACTTCGATATCTACAAAGATACACTATACCGTACATACATTTTGATAACGATAGCTGGTCGACAGAGAACGTTGCTTCAAAGTTTAAAATAACTGGCATTCACCAACTTCCTACACAATGATGAAAAATTGTTTAATTTTGTTTAATGACAACATTTAAGTATCTCGTAGACGAATTCAACAACCAGCTTCTGTGCTCGCTGTAGAAACTTAAAGTTTGAGAATACGTCGAGTTATAGGCTAAAACTATTTACCACTGACATTACATGCAGGGAACATGCTACTTAAATACTTTATTTGGACTACTGTATATACCTCACAAAAAGACTTACTATATCTGCCATCTATAAAATGTAACTTTTAGTGATAAATCTATTTTAGAAAAGTATTCAAAACTAAGAAGTATATGACATTTGTGTTGTTTGAATAAATCCTGCACACCACAATTACTGGAGATTTATGTTTATGATCAGAAGATTACGTGTATATGGATGAGTTATTGAAATTAATCAGTAACTGTTTTTAAGTTAAAATAATTGCGTTTAACATGAATATTAACTATGTAAGTGAATTATATAAAGTTGGATGAATGTCCATTATTGGCCTTCAGTTTAACGCTTTAAGACATTGATATTATTTCTTTTATTGATTACCGATAAATCTTATAAAAGGTTCCGTGAATAAACCCAAGATGTTTAGTATTACTTAACTATAATATAACATCTATCTTTCTTGATTAATATTTAATTTGTAACCACCGCAACTAAATTCCTCAACAATTAATTTATTCATATTTATATTTATTTACTCATCAATTCGTTCAGTCAATCATAAACAACTATATATATTTACATACCATGACTTTGTTTCTTAGTAGAATTAGAAAAATCTGAATTACTAGGAAAGGCGTCTAGAAAAAAAACTAATAAAGATTTCCTTTTGTTTATGTTTAGCGGAAGAAATAAAAGATTGACAGTTATAAAAATGAATGTAAAACTCTATTGCATATCACTCAAGATTCTCTTACTTAAAATACTTTTTTAAAAAAAGATTTATAAATAAACAAGCTCTTTTGTCTTCCTAGTATTTTATACTTTTACTTTCCGTACTGCGATCGAAATGAATAAAAAAACTGACGTTAAATTTAATCATACTCATGCATAATTTAGTAATCAATACATTTTCATAGTCTACATCATTGACTGATTGTATGTCGACAACTATTTAAAACCAAAAACCAATGGATTGCTGCTTAGTCCTAGTAGTCAATATGTGTTGAACTGAACTGGAAAGTGGGCATGAAAATTCAACATTATAAGTTTTTTTTTTAGTTGATTTTAAGATAAATACTTAGCCAACAGAATTTTTCAAAATAGTAAGTTAATAATTAGACTCAATTATTTCATAAATAAATGGGAAAAAATCAGAATAATATAATTTTAATGTTCTTACAAGAATGTTAAAACTTAATGTAATCTTACATAATGGTTGAATTACTGGGTTGATTAAAGGTAAACCACCATAGAAAACCTGGAAGCACTGAATGGTTGTTTCGTCCTGGTATGGGACTCTTCAGTAACGCCATTACTACAATCTCTGCAAAAAACCCCAATCTGATAGTAATCTTATAAATTGGATGACATGTTTACACGATATCGGTTTACGTTAGATTTAGAAATCAAAGAATCTAAAATATCTATGCCTTTATTAACCACAAATTATTGGAATAAATTTATTCAGTACTTTAAGTGCTAAATTAGGTTTCGTTACATTTGTATATGTATACAGTGATAATGACAGATATCCTTAGATCCATACCAGTTCTTATTTACCAACATATGACTTACAGTACATTTATCTAAATTGAAATACATTCACTGAGTAAGCTATTAGGTGTGTATTAAAGCACCATGTATTGAATATTGATTTATAATGATTACTTTATGTAAAGGAGATTTAATTAGAACAAGTATTAGTCAATCACTATGATTATGCCTCCCACCCTAGTTGCATCACACGATGATAATATCAGTTAGCTTTAATTATTAAATAGGAAAGTAAAAGATTTTTTATGAATTCACTTTGCTAATTATTGCTAATTGAAAAGATACTACTTTTATACATTCACTCAAAAACTTTATTATTCTCTTCTGTATATTAGTTTCACTAAGTTCAAATTTTATACAAACACAGATTTGTAATACAAAAAAATAAAACTCGCC